ATTTCCCCGCCGCCCCTCGCAGCCTCATCCCGGAGTATCCTGAGCATCCTCAGCCCTACGCATCCCCCTCCTTAGAAATGTTATAAGGAAAAATAAATAGTGGAAAGAATTCTACCGCATAGAATGCCAAAGGGTTTGGYTTCCTAATACCACGTGTGCTAATTAACTCTGGTAGAAAACGCTTCAGAAAGCTGCCACCTATAATATTTGGCGGCGTGCGCTGATGTGAGAGCTCTGTCCCAGCTGTGCATGGATTTTCCATCCTTGTGGCCGCTGCTTTTGTGCCTCATCAGCCTCGTGGGCACGCAGGGACTGTCACCATGTGCCCCCGTAATTCCCGTGCCCAGCCTGGGATTTTCCCTGCGTGGCTGCAGGGGATGCAGATCGAGTTTTACATCATGGTCTAAAGTGGTTTTGTTCCTTGCAGAGGAGSGACAGAAGCTCTTTGGGCTGGCAATTAATCAATCCGGCTTGGGAGCTTTCAGAGCAGGAAAAGAACATGAATTAAATTGAGGAACCCTTTACAGACAGCTCCAATTCCAGCTCCAGTCACTCAAGTGTTTGAAATAAGGGCTGATTTAGGATACTCAGGGCTCGGACTGATGTGTCACCAAAAAATGTCACTCAGGGGAAGGTGGAAAAGCTGAGCTGTTGTGTCTGGGAATGGCTACTGGGGAGGGACCTATCCCTGCACAAAATTTCAATTAGGGAGAAGTGACAGAGCCGTTTGCTTTTGTTTTGACTGGAATTTCTTATTTGTGCCTGTAAATTCCCCCCTTGCACACAGATAGTTGGGGATTCTTGAAATTTTTCTCCATCCCSYGAGAKTCCATGTGTAGYRGTGTGGAATACATCCMAGGGCAGGAATTCAGCCYGACTGTCACTTCAGGGGATGGCAGYRGGRACRGYAAACGTAGCAGCAAAATTRAGAGTAAGCTGATGGCACYTSAAAGCTGTGACAAGATGAGGGAGCTGAAAGCTGCCCGGGGAATGGGAGCGGTGCTGCTCAGGCAATGTTGGGTGCAGACTCCTCTGTGTCCAGCCAGGATTTCCCAAACAGGCAAAAAGCTCAACAAGCTTTCAAAACAAGCAAAAAGCTTCCCAAAAAGCTCCTCTGCTTTGCCCCTGTCTCAGTGCTCACAGCAGCAAGAAGCACGTTGGGATGTCATTCCCTCACTCCCTTTGGTTTCCATTGCAGTGGAAGATTGATGACAAGCCAGTAAAAATTGACAAATGGGACGGTTCAGCTGTGAAAAATTCCTTGGATGACTCTGCCAAAAAGGTACATTCCCTCTCTCTCTGCTGAGCTGTCCCTCGTTGGAAGCTCCCTGGTTTGTTTTTCTGTGCCATGGGGGTTGGTTGTGCCCATATCTGTGCCAGCTCTGGAGCTGTGCTYAATCAGGATCAATTAACAGGACACAGACATTCATTCCCCATAAACTTTCTGCTCAGTTTACCTGTGCCACTGGGATTGTTTCCTTCAAACCCTTCCCAGAGTGTCAGATTGTTGAGGAGCTCTCCATAGACTGCCTGTTTCTCCTGCAGGTCCTCCTGGAGAAGTACAAATACGTGGAGAATTTCCGTTTGATCGACGGCCGCCTCATCATCTGCACAATCTCCTGTCTCTTCGCCATTGTGGCTTTGATTTGGGATTACCTGCACCCTTTTCCTGAATCCAAACCTGTTCTTGCCTTCTGTGTTGTTTCATATCCTTTACAGATCTTGTCTTGGTTATACCAAAAGGGTTTGATTTTCCACGTGARCAAAACCCTTCTGGACATTTGCAGGCTGTGGAAATGACGCTTCCTGTCGTGTGGACATCAGCTGATAATCAGACAGTTTTCATGTGATGGGAAAATTCCTGCCTGTCTGGGAGTAATGCCCCTCAATTTGGGGATCTGAGGGCAGATCTGTTTTTTTCTTCTATCCAGAGTCTAGACACGTTTGCTTTTCCCTGATACCACAGGTCAGGATCTGAGAGGGGAAAGAGGGAATTGCTGGCAGCAGCTCTGCAGAGGGATCTGGRCAGGCTGGACCACGGGCTGAGGCCACTCTGGGGTTCAGCAAAGCCAAGAATCAGTGTGGCCTTGGCTGGAGGAGCAGGGGGCTGGGCAATGGTTGGACTCGGTGTCTCAGAGTTCTTTTCTA